AGGATGGTTAATTTGGTTTTGGCGTATTTAGTTGAATACTTATTTTTGTTCCTTTTTTCTGTCTTAAATTTGAAGGTCTCTTTGACTGTTTGGTGGGGTTTCTCCTGCATCCTTAAAAGTATTTTGTTGCTGATTTTTATTGCTGGATTCCCTGAGGTGAATAAGTTCGCCAATAGGGGGTTTTGAACTCTACCGGTTTTGTTGTAGGTGTTGGATATTTTACCCAGTTGGATATAAGGATGTATGTGTATGAACGTATGTGTGTGAATGTACATATATTATAGATATACACACATATGTGTAGCCAATTTACATATATATATATATTTATTTTTTTCTGTACTGCAATGACAATATGTTTGTTAGTAGGGAGGTCTGCATTGGTGGGTTGCAGCTTTTTCCCTCTTTTGGCTCATCTTGGACTCTTGAGGATATAGAAGTGGATGCTTGTTTGCTGGGTTTTTCATATATCAAGACACACCTGGTAAGAATGGCCTCGGCGGGTTAACCCCACAAAAACCCACATTTAGTAGATATTGGTTTTGTATGTATTTGTATTGATGATTCTGTTACTACTATTTTTTGTAATTCTGTGAAGTTAAAATTGTTTATTGTTGTATTTTAGTTTTCTAGTGGCAATTACATGCAGCTACCTGTAAAACTCCTGAAGAAGCCAGAACTTTGGCAAAACATGTTGAGTTGAAATTGTTACATTGTGAACTTCAATACATATGAAGTATCATGTTGGTTTTATATTTTTAAAAACTACTAATGTGATGTAGTTTTTTTTCTATGTTAATATACAATAAAGCTTTGTATTCATTTTAGTACATACTAAGTGTCAAATTTGTTGAGCACCTAAAAAAAATCCCTTTTCTTCTCATGTAATGCTGTATATTCACAATATGGGATGTGGCGCTAGGTGCTCTCCAGCCCACCTGAAATAAACATAGAATTTTTATGTACACTAACCGGCCACTTTATTAGGTACACCTGTTCAATTGCTTGGTAACACAAATTGCTAATCAGCCAATCACATGGCAGCGACTCAATGCATTTAGTCATCTAGATGTGGTGAAGACAGCTTGCTGAAGTTCAAACAAAGCATCAGAATGGGGAAGAAAGGGGATTTAAGTGACTTTGAACGTGGAGTGGATGTTGGTGCCAGATGGGCTGGTCTGAGATTCAAAATTTGCTGATCTACTCAGATTTTTATGCACAACCATCTCTAGGGTTTACAGAGAATGGTCCAAAAAATAGAAAATATCTACTGAGCGGAAGTTGTGTGATTGAAAATGTCTTGTTGATGTCAGAGGAGAATGAGTAGACTTGTTGCTGCAACATTCAGATGGTAGGGTCAGAATTTGGCATAAACAACATGAAAGCATGGATCTATCCTGCCTTGTATCAACGGTTCAGGCTGGTGGTGGTGGTAAAATGGTGTGGGAGATATTTTCTTGGCACTAGCAAGGTGTACCTAATAAAGTGGCTGGTGAGTATATACATATAACGTAGTTAAGGAGCCTTTTTGCTAGAGAGATTTATATTGTAGAATCTTTAGAACAGAAAAAAAAAGGTAAGGTATTACTATGGTATGGGGAGGATTTGAGATCTCATATCTTGACTGGGATGTCTAATGGTGATCAAAATTTCTGCTATATGTATACCTTTTGAATGGTTTCATGGACAGTACAGTTTAGAAGTAGTTACCCTAACTGATTACCCAATTGTATTGAAAGTATTTAATCACCCTTCCCATCTGACTGTCTTAATCTCTATGATTAAGCCCTGTAGGAGGTGAAACACACATTAGTTGTGTGGCCCCAAGTGAGAGATCGTCTGTGTGTGCAGTTCGTTTCCTACTGCTTGCTCATTAACATATTTTGGATATTTTAATGAGCAAAAAAATATATTATGATATATAATATAATAAATATATGATGTTTTCACGTTGCTGTTGTGCAACCTGGTCTCTTCTTGGCAAACTTCTTTGAATTTTGCTTTATTCTTTGCTCTTTCGCCATTTTTTCCAATGCTATCACTGGACATTCTGACATATATGAAAAGTGTAGAAAAGTTCACAAAGCACACTTAAACAACTATGAAAAACTGAATTCGGACCAAAATTTTTTTTAAAGTATGTGAAACAAAAATTGTAATATGCAGTTTTACCTCGTTGTGATTTACAGTAGCCTGAGTTATACCAGTATTTGTTTTCAATGTTATTAAAATAACATATGAAATCCAGCCAGTGACGCCCATAACAACACTTATGCCAAGAAAGAATCTGTCATAGGTATGATAATAAGTGAGTCCTCGTAAAGCCAAATCCATCAGAGTCCTGCAGAGGTCCATCTATGAAGACAAACAAAAAAGCCATTTGTTAGGAGGTAACACAAAGACTGCTGGAAAAGCAAATTGATACAGATAAGCAAGTTAATGCACTGATGCAACTTTGCTTGTATCAACTAGATTAAAATCCTGTTTTTTTTAATCAGTTACATATGACTGTGATATCTACTCAAACTACTCTAACAGCAACTCACCAAAATTTCAAGACAAGTTGATTACCTGGCTGCTACATGACTCTAGTTTCAGTCAATGCTAGAATATCAAAGTCTCACCCTTTGTCCTGCACAGTTGTAAAGGCTTCTTTTCTCTACTAAAAATGCTTAGTCTAATTCCACTAATTTCAGTGTGAATTAGAAGCTGCAGCAAGTCAGAGCCTGCCTCATTTTATGGCTGGGGGACGTACACCATTATCTAACTTCATCAATCTATCATCTCAAAAACCACACCACTGCTTGCACCAGGCCAGCTCTTGAGAGAAGTAGTGAGGCAGGGGCTGTGACATTTTTAGGAAGTTTATGCAGAGAAGAGTAAAGGCCCAGAGATTATGTTACTGCATGTAAAATAAGGGTTTGGAACAAAAATGGAAGTTTAATTTTAAAATTTCATTAGCATGTTGCTAGCAAAGAGAGACCAGGGAAGACTAGCAAAGTATGAGTAAATTTAGGCTTCGACTGCTTGTAATTGTGTGTTTTTACAAAGGACAGCAGCAACAAGCATATTTTGCTATCATTTTTAGTCATCTGTCACTAGTCTAGACAGACTCTAGTCTAAATATACACACACTATATTGCCAAAAGTATTGGGACGCCTGCCTTTACACATACATGAACTTTAATGGCATCCCATTCTGTAGGGTTCAATATTGAGTTGGCCCGCCCTTTGCAGCTATAACAGCTTCACCTCTTCTGGGAAGGCTGTCCACAAGGTTTAGGAGGGTGTCTATGGGAATGTTTGACCATTCTTCCAGAAGTGCATTTGTGAGGTCAGGCACTGATGTCGGATGAGAAGGCCTGGCTCACAGTCTCTGCTCTAATTCATCCCAAAAGTGTTGAGGTCAGGACTTATGGTATGCTGATGTCTTAAAGAATTCCCTTCACTGGAACTAAGGGGCCAATCCTGACCCCTGAAAAACAACCTCACCCCATTCTCCTGGCAACCGCCAAACTCAGACACGTCCATCAGATTGCCAGACAGAGAAGTGCGATTCATCACTCCAGAGAACACGTCTCCATTGCTCTAGAGTCCAGTGGCGGCATGCTTTACACCACTGTATATGACACTTTGCATAGCACTTGGGGATGTAAGGCTTGGATGCAGCTGTTTGGCCATGGAAACCCATTCTATGAAGTTCCCTATGCACTCTTGTTGTGTTAATCTGATGTCCACGTGAAGTTCTGAGGTGTTAAGGTATTGACTCTGCAGACAATTTCCGACTTCTGTGCACTGTGCGCTTCAACATGCGCTGACCCCACTCTGTACATGGCCTACCCCAGGGGTCCTCAAACTACTGCCTGCAGGCCACATGCGGCCCACCGAGGCCATTTATCCGGCCCACCGACAGGGGCGGGACAGGAAGGGACACTAAGTACAGGGGTGGGCAGGGGGCTGCTGTACCTTAGCTGGCTCCGGTTTCAGTCCCACGACGATCCAGTCCAGGAAGCGCTGCTCCTTCATTCACTCCGGCCACTCCCTCACTCCTGCCGCTCGGCTCCGCCTCCTCACCGGTGATTGGGCGCCAGAACTGTAGCTCAGGAAAGTCACACAGGCGGCCAATCACCTGCGAGGAGGCAGAGCCGAGCGGCCCCGCGAACATCGAGTGAGGGAGAGGCCGGAGTGAAGAAGGACAGCTGACAGGTAAGTGTGCGGTGCTGCTGATGGCTGCTGCTGCTGCAACCAGGTATGCTGGCTGTCATTGGTGTCAGTGGGAGGAATAGTTCTCCATCATTGGTGTCACTGATACTAATGATGGGGCATTATTCCTCCCACTGACACCAATGATGGGGCACTATTCCTCCAATGACACCAATGATAGGGCACTATTCCTCCCCCACTGACACCAATTATATGGGGCACTATTCCTCCCCCCCCACTGACGCCAATGATGGGGCACTATTCCTCCCTCTGACACCAAATGATAGGGCACTATTCATCCCCCCACTGACACCAATGACGTACTATTCCTCCCACTGACACCAAAGATGGGGCACTATTCCTCCCACTGACACCAAAGACGGGGCACTATTCTTCCCATTGACACTAATGATGGGACACTATTCCTCCCACTGACACCAATGATGGGGCACTATTCCCCCCCCACTGACACCAATGATGGGGCACTATTCCCCCCCACTGACACCAATGATGTACTATTCCTCCCACTGACACCAATGACGGGGCACTATTCCCCCCCCCGATACTAATGATGGGGCACTATTCCTCCCACTGACACCAATGATGGGGGCACTATTCCTCCCACTGACACCAATGATGGGGCACGTTTCTTCCCACTGACACCAATGATGGGGCACTATTTCACTCCATAAGACACACTTGGGGGGAAATGTCTGTGCGTCTTATGGAGCGGCCGGCCCAGTATTCCCGCAGCCATTGTATGTCCGCAGTCTCTGGTCATCTCCTGTAGTGTGTCCGCAGTCTCTGGTCATCTCCTGTACTGTGTCCGCAGTCTCTGGTCATCTCCTGTACTATGTCCGCAGTCTCTGATCATCTCCTGTACTGTGTCCGCAGTCTCTGATCATCTCCTGTACTGTGTCCGCAGTCTCTGGTCATCTCCTGTACTGTGTCCGCAGTCTCTGATCATCTCCTGTACTATGTCCGCAGTCTCTGATCATCTTCTGTACCATGTCTGTAGTCTCTGGTCATCTCTTGTACTGTGTCCGCAGTCTCTGGTCATCTCCTGTACTATGTCAGCAAGGAATTTTCACAGATGGACTAATTACACAGGTGGCAACCTATCACGGTCCCATGCTTGAATTCACTGAGCTCCTGAGAGTGACCCATTCTTTCACAAATGTTTGTAGAAGCAGTCTGTACGCCTAGGTGCTTAATTCTATACACCTGTGGCCATGGAGGTGATTGGAACACCTGAATCCAATGATTTGGAGGGGTGGCCCAATACTTTTGGCAATATAGTGTATCTCATACCAACATAAAATATCATATAGGAGTTAAAATGCTAAAGTGGTTCTAAAGGCTGAATGTTTTCTTTACCTTCAAGCATTCAATGCATGAAGGTAAAAACCTTCAGTGTGCAGCTCCCCCCTCAGCCCCCCTAATACTTACCTGAGACCAATCTTGATCCAGCAATGTGCACAAGTGCAGCAGCTCTCCTGGGTCCCTCGCTCCTCATTGGCTGAGACACAGCAGGGGGAGCCACTGGTTCCTGCTGCTGTCGATCACAGTCAGTAAGGAGGGAGTGGGGAGCAGGGTACGGGGCCGAGCTGCACTGTGTGTCTTACAGACACACAGAGGTGGCTCATGAACGAACATGTACAAGTGCCCTCAGGGCAAGCAGATTGCTCTGGGGGCACTCAGCAGGGAGAAGCCAGGAGCACCAGCAGGGAACCAAGGAATAGCTAGATCAGGGCTGCTCTGTACAAAAACATTACACAGAGCAGGTAAGAATGACATGTTTGTTATTTGAACAAAAAATTCAATGAAATTTCACAAACTGTTATCAATATTTTAACAATCGCAGCTTTTATTAAATGTTATGGGGTTACAAAGCTCTAATTGTCTCTCCCTTTTTCTCCTGTATTGCTGCCCTGTCAGTTGGGCTTCTGATGAGGACTACAGGTGGCTGTTTCAATACACATTACACAATGATCCACTGTTGTCACCCTCATCGAGCTATCGTTGTAGTGCATGCATGTACACAAGAAGTGGCTGTAAGGAGGCAGGTGATAAGCAGCACAGAGATGTAACCGGATAAAAAAGTAAAAACAATTATTTTATTTTAAAAATTAAATTCCATTTGCCTATGACACAACATGCTTTGATAAATGATTTTTTGTACTTTTGTACTTTAATAAAAAGATGCACCCTTGTCAAATGATTACCAGAGCACTATGGGCTTTCGAAAAGTGACACACACAAAACAAATTGTTACTCTTCAGAAACACTGGGCTTGTTTTACTAAAGGGGAAGAGGCAGTTTTCTCAGCAAAGTGAATGTCAGTAAATAAGGTGAAGATGGTTAATTCTGAATACTCAATTATGTGTTAAGGAAACTAATTTAAGGATTTTTCCTAGCATAATTGGATATACAAAGTGAATACAGATTCACATTACTCACTAGCATTCACATATAATTTTCATATAATTTGCCATAGTTAACGTTTACTTTGCTAAGTGAGTAGCTACAGCTACTTTAGTAAATCAATCCCACTGCGTGTGACTGAAATTTAGTGCTGAGCTGACAGAAGGGAGGAGGGAAAGGGAGTGAGTCACTGCTTCAAATTCAACCTCTGTTAAACTTCAAACGTTGTTGTGTTTTTATCACTGCTCAGGATTTTCATAAAAAAAAAAAAAAAAAAAAAATATATATATATATATATATATATCTTGATCTGGTCAGTTAAGTAGCAGAGGAGGTTGTTAATCAGTTTCAGCTGCTTTGGTGTCAATGAAATTAACAACAGGTGCACTAGATGGGCAACAATGAGAAAACCTCCAAAACAGGAAGGGATTTACAGGTTGAGGCCACTGACAATTTTTTCCCTACTCATCTTTTCTGACTGTTTTTCACTAGTTTTGCATTTGACTAGGGTCAGCGTCACTACTGATAGCATGCGGCGATACCTGGACCCTATAGAGGTTGCACAGGCAGTCCAACTCCTCCAGGATGGCACATCAATACATGCCATTGCCAGAAGGTTTGCTGTGTCTCCCAGCACAGTCTCAAGAGCATTGAGGAGATTCCAGTAGACAGGCCGTTACTCTAGGAGAGCTTGACAGGGCCGAAGAAGGCCCTTAACCCAAAACAGGACCGGTATCTGCTCCTTTGTGCAAGGAGGAACAAAATTATCACTGCCCAACAAAATTACCTCCAGCAGACCACTGGTGTGAATGTCTCTGACCAAACAATCAAACAGACTTCATGAGGGTGGTCTGAGGCTTGACGTCCTCTAGTGGGGTCTATGCTCACTGCCCGGTACCATAGAGCTTGACTGGCTTTTGCCATTGAGCACCAGAATTGGCAGATCCGCCACTGGCGCCCTGTGCTTTTCACAGATAAGAGCAAGTTCACCCTGAGCACATGTGACAGACGTGAAAGGGTCTAGAAAAAGCCATAGAGAATGTTATGCTGCCTGTAACATTGTTCAGCATGACTGTTTTGGTGGTGGGTTGGTGATGGTCTGGGGAGGCATATCTATAGAGGGACGCAGAGACCTCTACAGGCTAGACAATGGCACCCTGACTGCCATTAGGTAGCGGGATGAAATCTTTGGATCCACTGTCAGACCCTACGTTGGTGCAGTGGGTCCTGGGTTTCTCCTGGTGCACGACAATGCCCAGCCTCACGTGGCGAGAGTATGCAAGCAGTTCCTGAAGGATGAAGGTATTGATACCATTGAGTGGCCCCCATGCTCGCCTGTCCTAAATCCGATATCCTCTGGGATATCACATCTTGGTCTATCCGATACCGCCAGGTTGCACCTCAGACTGTCCAGGAGCTCAGTGATGCCCTGGTCCAGATCTGGGAGGAAATATCCCAGGACACCATCCGTCATCTCACTAGGAGCATGTCCCAAAGTTGTTAGGCATGCATACAAGCATGTGGGGGCCATACAAACTACTGAGTACCATTTTGAGTTGCTGCAATGAAATTTCAGCAAAATGGACTAGCCTACTGCATAATTTTTTCACTTTGATTTTCGGGGTGTCTTTGAAGTCAGTCCCCTGTAGGTTGATCATTTTCATATCCATCAAATGATGGGGCATCCTTATGTTCCTAACACATTACCCAGTACATATCAGTATATATCAGGCATGATATTTTTGCCCCATTGAGATCTGATATGTTTCAAAGTGTTCCTTTAATTTTTTTGAGCATTGTAGATATATATATATATATATATATATATATATATATATATATATATATACACACACACACACACATGTATATATATATATATTTTTTTTTTTTTAAACATACACACACTCAGGGAGTATGTATTTCTTTTGTAAATGCAAAAAAACTTTTTTCTGTAGACTAGGTTGAAATACTACAAACTCCATCAATAATGGAAAGTTATCAGAAAAAGCCCTTGTGGTATATATTGCGTAACATTATGGGGATGTGGCGCCTCTCTAACGTGCTCATGCATATATGGGACACATGGCTACCTTTGCACCTAAATTCATGTTTGCCTAAGGCATCACAAGCTAAACATATTCTTGCAGAATCATCACTGTGCGTTGTGTAGCCAGATGCATTCTTACTTCACTTGATCGATTTGCTGTCAAGAGAAACATTTGGCAACAGTTTGACTGCAATCCATCTTATCAGTCTCAATATGACAAGATCGACACAACAACATCAAATTACATGGCTACTATACCACATGGATGGCTCCACTCACAGGTGAACCAACAAAAGTAACTATTATGTAAAACTCCAATCACCTGTTAAACTTGCCCTTGTAGATTATTTAAAACTGTTATTTGGTAAAGTACAGTTGCTGGTTCTCAGTCTGAGTTAATAATTGAATTTTCAAGGTTTAAATACTTTGAATTTTCACCCTTTAGATTCCTTTTTTAAAGTTTTTATAGGCGATGTAAAATATCTAAAATATAAATTTGTTCAACATTTTCCTGCATGAAAGGATGGCTGGACTGTGTTATCCTATTACTCCAGCTTCCCTTAACTTTCTATGAGGAGCAATTTATTTGCAGTTCTGTGAAAGGAAAGATAAGCAGTGCACAGCATAAGCCAGACCTGGGAACTGTTTAAATAAATACTTTCTTGGCAAACCGCAATCTGACTGCTTACAGCATGTAGATGTTGCTGGGGTCTACAAATATCCGTAGTCAACTATACTCATTAATCGAAAACAATTCTCAACTATAGCAAGAGCATAATAAATTTTGATCCAGATTCTTGTAGTTTTTTGAGTGTACCTGTCTATATTAATTTCTACTTCACAATTGTGATTTCTTTGCATAGCAAGGATACAAACATTAAGGGCTCATTTACCCTAATGATTTGCGGTACCAGATGGAAACACATGTTGTATGCATTGTGGTGCCAATTATTATGTAGTAAAGACAAATTTGTTGCAGTACTTCAGAAAACAGACTGCAGGAGACCAGCAGCACTAAAATGCACAGCTCTTTTGCATACTCAGTCATTAAGTTAAGTTTTGTCTACCTTACAGTGGTTATATACCCTTACATATACCCACTAAAGCAGGGGCGGACTGACAGCTCATGGGGCCCCCAGGCAATAGGGGATCATGGGGCTCCTGTGTCTTTGCCCAAACTCAAAAAAGCCTATGAAAAAGGTACCAGGGGCATCTCATGGGGCCCCCTACTGACCCCGTGTCCTCCCGAGTTTCCAAATGGTCAGTCCGCCCCTGCAGTAAAGTGACTTACCTCAAGTCATACACAAAAATCAAAAAATCCTACATCATTTGTACCTCTCTTCTCTACAGCTTTTAAAAGTGCAGAATTTACACAGTTTTTCTGAGCTTCCAGAAGCAGGGATCTGATATCACACAGTGAACAGCTCAAACAGGAGAGCTGAGTGTAATCTGAGAGCTGAGTGGAGGGAAAGGACATACCCCCTCTATACATTCTCATCCGGAAACATGCACAGCTGAGGCTGTCAGTCACCTGCTATATGGTGGAGACCCACTCCCCTATCATTCTCGAATACCTAGAGTCAACTCAACCTGTCAGTAATTATAGCAGAAGAATGAAACAGCAGACAGATAGCACACCCAATGCTTTGGATTGAAGCAAGCACATGCTATATAAGGATATGTTTTGTTCACTTTAATGTCAGAGGCATCCTGTATTCTGAGTAACTCTGTCCAAGGCAAAAAAAGAGGGGGGTAAATTACTGTTTAGAAAATCATATGTAATTGTGTTTTATGTAACTGACTTGCTGCTAATACAAATAGGTGGACATCAGAAAAAGAAAAAAAGGCAGCATGTTAATTTTCTCTAGTATTTTTCTATAATGGCTTGTCTCCATGCTGGCTCTGTGCATCTAAAATATCGTACTGTTTTTTTATACCAAAATATGAAAAGGAGAGATAGAACAGAGGATGCTTGAAAGAACATACTTATGCTTCATTGCATTTACTTCATCTTGAACTTGTCTAAAACATGTATTTTAAGTTTTGATGGGACCGTATGATCTATTCAGGGTATGGAGATAAGGAATGCTAATCAGGCTATAGCCAGTTTGTGACTAATTATACAGTTTTAAAAATGTAATTTATTTATTACTGGTTTGTGTAATTGATCATTTTTTTAACTGAAAAAATGCAAATATAATAATATAAAATAAAAATCTTAAACCCACAAGATAAAATATAATCTGCTACTTTTCTTGGTAAAAACCCAATCATTATTATTTAATCTGTTTGAAAATGATAGAGTCTACAAACTATGGTATATATATTTGAAAATTGATCAATCTTGATAGTCTGGCAGCCTATGTTATTTCTCAAGGCCCTAAAATACCAGGACAGTACAAATACCCCCCAAATGACCCTTTTTGGAAAGTAGACAGTCCATGGTATTTAGTAAGAGGCATGGTGAATTTTTTGAAGTTGTAATTTATTTGTCACAATTTTTAGGAAAATGAAAAAATTTGTATTTTTTTTACATACGGTCACCATGCAGTACAGCATCATCATAGGACTGGTGTGAAAGTGATCAGGGATGCTTGACTCGTGACAGAATGTTAAAAAAAATATAATTTTTTATTCCATTTTTTTTTAACTTTTTTTTTTTTTTTACAACGTTAGAGTGGTTCAATGTCACCATAGTGGCGGGGTGATCAGGGATTTTTTTTTTACACTATTATTGCTTATAACAGTGATGATCACTGTTATAAGCAATAGTTTTACCTGTCATGAATGGCTTTAATTCACGACTTCATGTCTACTATTGTGATGCTGGAAAAACAGAAGCGATCGCTACCGATCACTGTTATTTATTCAGGATTGTCCATCCTGACAATGATCTCCCGCTCAAGCAGCTGCAGCCAGCAGGAGGAGGGAAAGCTGACCAGCAGCACTGCCATGAGGGGTTCCAGGGATCAGTGGAAGAGGACACTACAGGGGGGGCCGGAAAGGAATGCCAGATTTTTTTTTTGATCTGTGGCTTCCCTGCAGCAGCAAACGCTGGTGGGAGAGCAGAGGAGGGAAGACAGCTGCAGGTAAGCCATAGCAAAGTGAAGTGACCATGAGCTTATAACAAAAGAAGGAAAGTCAGGTCTGTATGGCATACAGACCTGGCCAACTGAAAGCAGTGCTGTAGGTCTGTATGCTGTACCAACCTGGCAGCAAAAGAGTTAATATTCTTGTGACGGAGGTGTAGGTGGGACAGAACACACGCGGGGAGCAGTGGAGCACACAGGGCTTTTATTTAAAGATTTTGAGGGCACACGGTGAAAATAGCAAGGTTTTGGCAAACAAAAGTTAAGTGCGGCAGAAGGGCAGACTGGCAGTCAATGGGTAAGTCCGGGCACACAGCCGAAGGTCGGGCTGGCAGGAAATGGGTTAAGTCCGGGCACACAGCAGAAGACAGACTGGTAGGCAATGAGTAAGTCGGGCACACAGCAGAAAGGTAGACTGGTAGGCAATGAGTAAGTCGGGGCACACAGCAGAAGACAGACTGGTAGGCAATGAGTAAGTCCAGGCACACAGCAGAAGACAGACTGGTAGGCAATGAGTAAGTCCAGGCACACAGCAGAAGGCAGACTGGTAGGCAATGGGTAAGTCTGGGCACACAGCAAAAGGCAGACTGGTAGGCAATGGGTAAGTCTGGGCACACAGCAAAAGGCAGACTGGTAGGCAATGGGTAAGTCTGGGCACACAGCAAAAGGCAGACTGGTAGGCAATGGGTAAGTCTGGGCATACAGCAGAAAGGCAGACTGGCAGGTAATGAGTAAGTCCAGGCACACAGCAAAAGGCAGACAGGTAGGCAATGAGTAAGTCTGGGCACACAGAAGGCAGACTGGTAGGCAATGGGTAAGTCCGGGCACACAGCAGAAGGGCAGACTGGCAGGTAATGAGTAAGTCCAGGCACACAGCAAAAGGCAGACTGGTAGGCAATGGGTAAGTCCGGGCACACAGCAAAAGGCAGACTGGTAGGCAATGGGTAAGTCTGGGCAACAGCAAAAGGCAGACTGGTAGGCAATGGGTAAGTCTGGGCATACAGCAAAAGGCAGACAGGTAGGCAATGAGTAAGTCTGGGCACACAGAAGGCAGACTGGTAGGCAATGGGTAAGTCCGGGCACACAGCAGAAGGGCAGACTGGCAGGTAATGAGTAAGTCCAGGCACACAGCAAAAGGCAGACTGGTAGGCAATGGGTAAGTCCGGGCACACAGCAGAAGGCAGAGCACAGGGTAGCAATTCAGGGACTCACCAGCCAGCAGTGGCCTCAGCAGAGGAAATCTAGGCAGATAGGCACCAACTCCTCACAGGTCTTCAGAGGGCTGTGTGTCTTGGCCGCAGCTTCAAGACCACACAGGCAACGTAGAACCACAAGTCCCAGCAGTGCACAACGCAAACCACAGTTCAATGCATCACCTAGCAAGGCCTGCAGCCATGAGCTGCTCTTTCGATACTGGCTTAAAACTCTGCCCCTTCTCCCCCCATAGGAACAATATATGGCCCTTTCAATTTGACCAAGCCCCAAGGTCCTGGAGCCAACACGTCCGGCTTTTCACAGTCACAGGACATCATGCTGTCTACGCTCCCTGCTGGGATAAATCTAATTTCCCACCCCCTGCGTGCACAGGAACTTCAAATTATAAACTAAGCAGACAAGCTAAATGCTGCCCATACGTGTTAACAAAACAACACAAAAATAAATTAATATTCCTGCTGTCCATCACAATTCCAACCGGTGCAAGGCGGACCCCCTGAGCCCCCTTTCTCGGACACATTTCACTCAATAGGAGCTTTTTTGTAGAATCCACCATAGTATCCTATGAAT